ATACATAAGTCATTCATTTGGATTAATGTCTCCAGGAGTTTTTATCATACAAGCGTCATAAAACATATTGACAGAAACCTCATAATTTACACTTTCCAATGTGTCCACTGCGAGATTTAGATTTGATTTAGATAAAACATAACCGTTTTTAAATTAATCATTTACAGCAGAGATGGAGCGCTAAGTGTCCACTTCCACTGCCTCAGTCTGCTGAGGATTAATGATGTACACCTGGGGACACTGGTTGCCCTGTTACAATTTGTGTTCACTGAATTCTAGGAAGGACTCGTGCCTTGCCTCTGGAGGATCCTTCCTTAGAAGGACTTATCATACCAAGGAAGGATCCTTGACTTTGAGAAACACCAATGGTATATGAGCTGATTTTGTCATGTGGAGGGAATGGGGTGGTTTTTGTCAACCCACTACGAGGCAGGATTTGGAGATAGTGAGGTAACTTCAGGGTTTTTTAGTACTACGAAGCTGGTTTTATGTAAGATATAGCTTCGTCCACATCAAACTAAATAGCAAAATATACACTATACTAATATCACATATAGCCTAATGATATCTACATGTAATTTAAGTCTCGGTTGAGGGTGAATTTTGGATTGTATTTTCAATATTTCACATTTTCTGTTATAAGATTGTAGAGTATCGTTTACATCCCACAATAATGACATTTTTATGTTTTGGAGTGCCAGACACTTTTGTCACTGTTTCATCTGATTCAATATGAAGTAGCCTACTTCATTCATAGTTCTGCTGCTCTTTCACATGAACGCGCTCATAGCTGGATAGGAAAACCTAGAGTTGACTGACCTAGTTGGTAACCAGCTTTGTAGTACCAGTTATCCAGACGGCCAATGTTAGGGTTAGTCAAGCCAGATACTGTAAGAAAAAGATATCCTGGGTAAGTTGAACTGGCGCCGTAGTACAGGCCTCCAGTCTCACTTCCAACTTGTCAAATCCTGATGCTTGGTCAGTGGCTGTAGGCGGCAAACATGGACCAGAGAGGCACCCTCTAGCAGTGGTATGAGAGGCACCAGGCGGTGGCATTTCTGACACTCTGGGCAAGTACTGATGTATAAAGAGCAAGAAAGACCACACAGGGCATGGTGGAGGGAAAGTAAATGGGTCCAACAAACTCCATACTTTTACCCAGGAGTCCACTGTTTGTGTCCCGTGTGAAACCAAAAGTCAATCGAGTGATTTTAATAACAGTGTAGTGTGCTGTTAGCATACTATGCTAGTGAGGTATGTTACGTGATGTTATATCACATTAGTAACAAATTATTTTAAGCCAAACCATGCTGTTTTTTTCTCTTTCTTTTTTACCAGTGTTTGTAGTTTATTTTGAAAAGAGACAATGCATGTAACAAGCATAAATTGACATGCCGTCCCTGATCATCCAAAACTGACGCAGGACGTGCACCTAGAGTGTCATATTTTGACGTGTAAGGCTACATAATGCAAATGTAACAGTTCCCTGAATTGCAGAAACGTACAATGCCAAAATTTATTCTCATCGTTGGGTTGAAAGAAGAAGAGTGAACTCCTAACATACAAAAAATGGACTCATACTCAAAGGGAAACTTTAGTATTTTTAAGCCTGGGCTGCATTTTCCTGTTTGTTTGTTTTTGTTTTGGTTTTGTGTGTGTGTGTGTGTGTTTGTGTGTGTCCAAGTGACTGATAGAGACAACGATTTTTTTAATTCTAGTATTGAGAGAGACCACTGCGGCCACAGCAGCAAAAAAAGCTGCAGTTTAATCTCTGCGGGCAGCTGTGCTCAGTCAATTTACGTCCATTAAAAATGCTTGTTTATTCCACTCAAAGGCTCAGAATGTTTTTAGAAGTGTCTGACTAAGTGACCAATGAAATCTTGCTGACTAATGGACTTTCTGGACTAACCTTTGGTCAACTACTACAAAAACTACAAAAACTTTAACACACCTGAAGTTGCACAATCCACAGTAAGTTGAGGCTAATATTAAATACATTAGCATAATTAAAGTTAAAAAACTTTTTAACAAACTTGTTCTAAAAAAATGCAAATTTCAAAACATGAACATGATTTTTGTAAATTCATATTGGCATTACCTTTGTTGAAGAGTGCATAATGGCTTGTTAAGGACTTGAAACTTGACTTTCTTGACTTTAGACTTGAGTGCAAAGACTTGTGACTTACTTGCAAAACAATATTACCACGTCTGTGTCCTCTCACTAACGTTTCCACTGTTGTTTTTCCTGCAATAAGTCATCTCTTGAGCAAGACTTGATCTCAATGACAAACAGACCAGTGAAAGGTAGAGAAAAATGCTTCAATTCTCTGTAAGGATCCTTTCTGTAATGTTATTAAATGCTCATAATAACTATCTGAGCCTGTTGGTGGCAAAAAACAAACACTTTTAGTGGATGTTAATTGAGAATGCCAACTGCAAGTAGGGATTACATAGCAGCATGTTGTGCTGCTGCTGCTGCGGCTGGCCTCTCTCTCAATACTGGACCAGTTTCAAACATTATTTTCTCCATGAGTCACTTTGTCACAAAAATATGTGAAAATAGGGTCCAGGTTAAAAAATACTTATGTTTCCCTATAAATACAGTACTTGAGTACTTGTACTTGTGACTGTGCTGTCAGTTAAATTAGTTTTGACAGATTTATGTTAGATTCAGTCCATCAGTCACATCCTCCGTCAGAGTGAAGCTGACCTCGGGACTGATCCCATTATAAACTGGCAGAGCTCAAAGCATGAGCTAACAGTGTGTGTGTATGTGTGTCTGTCCCCTCAGCTCTCTGCCCAGTGTGATCTCAGTCTCCATCTCCTCCCAGTCCAGTGCAGCTCCCCTCCACCCTCCTCTCATTAGTGAAAACAAGGCAGCGTTTCAGACTAATTAGAGAGGATTAGACCTCCACCTCCCAAACACTGAAGAATGAAGAGGATTCTGTTCTAAATAATTCAAGACGTCTGTCAAATAAACTTCCGTTATTGTGCTGCAACAAACCAGAGCTTCTGTCACTGCCCTGTTGGAGGTGAGGCCTGAGGGTGGAGATGGTCGTTTGTCCATCAGTTCATTAAAACCCCTTCACTTTCCTTGTACTGAGCCCCCTACCCTTTGGATGAACTTTACATTCTTGGCTCCACAACTAGTGAGACTATAAGAACATCCAAATAATTGGGATGATGTCTGTTCTGTTATGCGATGAATATAACAGATTGTAGATCTGTGGTTTCCAACATTTTGGAAAATTTAAAAAGATCAACATTTCAGAATCAACTTACACACTGAGAAATATGTGAACACATCGGCATCTGTAAGCAGTTCTAACTGATGTGGAAGCAATTTTCAGTTAGTTAGTAGTTAGTAACAGAGGAAACCATAGACAGTCCAAAAAAAAAAGCCACAAGTGCGGCATTTTGACCATTGCCATCTTGGATATTTGGAGTCAGAAGTGACCATATTTTGACGAGAGGGTGGAGCTAACCCTAATGCTAGCTGCTAGCTTTGTTAGCATGGTGCATTTACAGCTATGTTTAACTGTGATAATGCTGATGCTTATTTTTGGCTAGCGAAAAAGATGCTTAAAATCATTATAACATTTTTTTACTGGAAATACAGAACATCTGACTCCTTAGAGGGTCAACCAAACAAGACTTTTTTTTAGATGACCATAACATAACAGTTAACTTTCATGAACTGATAACGTGTGTTTTCATGTGTGTTTTTTCTCCCCGTGTCAGCGTAGGTTTTCTCCGGTTTTCTCCCACAGTCCAAAGACATGCAGGCTAGGTTCACTGGTGACTTAAAATTGTCCGTAGGTGTGAATGTGAGAGCAAATGGTTGTCTGTCTCTATGTGTCAGCCCTGTGATAGTCTGGCAACCTTTCCAGGGTGTACCTCACCTCTAACCCAATGTCAGCTTGGATAGGCTCCAGCCCCCCCACAACCCCTAGCAGAACAGGCGGTTACAGAAAATGAATGAATAAAATAAATAAAATAAAATAAAACAACAAAAACATGGACACTGATGAAATGTAAAAGTCTCAAAAAGCCAAATGATGCATAAGAAGACTTTAGCAGTTATAACAAGGGCATAAAAATGTAGATGTCTCCAGCAGTTTGGATCATAAATACCTCACAAAACACAAATTTAAATTTTTGGCATATCCATCATCGACATCTGACTTCACAATAATACGGAAGTGTAATGCATTCACTTGAGTAGAAAAAAAAATCTGCTCTGTTTTTCTGAATTAGTGAGATTGTTAGCAGAGACTTCCAAGAATAGTTTGCATTTTTAATAATCTGCCCTTTGTTGTTTTTTTTGTTTTTGTTTTTAAACGCCATGATTTTTTTTTCTAGTATGAATGCATTATGTTTACTTACAATACATGCATGGTTAAAATGTGTTTGTTTTACCTAGTCAGCAGGACATCTGTCTAATTGCAAGTAAGTGTAGCTGATGAGTAGCTAGCATAGAAAAATCCTACATGAAAGTGTAAAAAAGATGTTTTCTCATTAAAAACACGATTGAAATGTTTTGTTTCTGTGTCAGTGTCTCTCTGTGTCCTTAACCTTATTGATATATCCTCACAAAATGGTTAATAAGATATCTAATAAATTAGAGTCCCATGTATGCATTATGCATTTAATGTATCTAGGTTATGTAGGGAAAAAAACATGACGATGTACCTTAAAATGACTCAAAGTCCACTTGGTTTCACACGGTTCCAAATCTTGGTGTCCCGGGAGAAAGTCCTATGTTTTGTGAAACAACCACCACCCCAACCTTCCTCCTTACATGGATGACATCCTTTTTTACCCCTGTCAGCACTTGGGTAATGCTATCACAGCCTTCCCAAAATATGTGGGTTATACATAAATTACTGGCTCATGATAATCTAGGATATCTAGGACAAATTTTGGTGCATCACTTTTTGTAGGGAAACGTACTTGCACTTACTATGAACTGTCTAACCTGTCTGTCCTCCTCTCTTCAGGTGCAGGTTGCTCCATCAAACCAGGTTTGGACGGGTGTCCCAACGAGTGCAGCGATCAGGGTCGTTGCGTCGACGGAAAGTGTGTCTGCTTCACTGGTTTTAGTGGACCGGACTGCAGCATGTCCAACTGTCCTGGAAACTGCAACGACAATGGACGGTGTGTGAATGGACAGTGTGTGTGTGACCCTGGTTTCACCGGTCCAGACTGCTCACAGAGAGGCTGCCCCAACAACTGCAACAACCATGGCAGGTGTGTGAATGGAGAGTGTGTGTGCAATCCTGGGTTCACCGGTCCTGACTGCTTGCAAAGAGGCTGCCCTGACAACTGCAACAACCGCGGCAGGTGTGTGAATGGCAGGTGTGTGTGTGACACAGGCTTCGCTGGTCCCAGCTGCTCAGACCAGTCCTGTCCTGGGAACTGCAACAACAGGGGGCGCTGTGTAAATGGACAATGTGTGTGCAATCCTGGGTTCACCGGCCCCGACTGCTCGAAGAAGGCATGTCCAAACAACTGCAGTGACCGTGGACGCTGTATGAACGGTAAATGTGTGTGTGACAGCGGGTTCACTGGTGCTGACTGCTCTGCAGATTCGTGCCCAGGAAACTGCAACAAAAGGGGGCGCTGCATCAACGGACAGTGTGTGTGTAATCCTGGATTCACCGGACCTGACTGCTCAAAGAGGGCATGTCCTGATGACTGCAATGACCGTGGCAGGTGTGTGAACGGTAAATGTGTGTGTGACAGCGGCTTCACCGGTGCAGACTGCTCTGAGACCACCTGTCCTGGAAACTGCAACAACAGGGGGCGCTGCATAAACGGAGAGTGCGTTTGTGATGATGAATTCAGTGGACCCGACTGCTCTGAAAGAACATGCCCTAATGACTGCAGCGACCAAGGCAGGTGTGTGAACGGTAAATGTGTGTGTGACAGCGGCTTCACCGGTGATGATTGCTCTGAGAAATCCTGCCCGGGAAACTGCAACAACAGGGGGCGCTGCGTTAATGGACAGTGTGTTTGCAAGGATGGATTCACCGGAGCAGACTGCTCTGGAAAAGCTTGTCCCAACAACTGCAGTAACCGTGGGAGATGTGTGAATGGGAAGTGTGTTTGTGATGTGGGCTTTGCTGGGCCGGACTGTGCCGCCAAAGGTTGCCCCAACAACTGCAACAACAAAGGGAGGTGTGTCAAAGGAAGATGTGTCTGCCGGCGAGGGTTCACTGGACCGGACTGCAGCCAGTGTGAGAGCGGCATGACTGGACCAAACTGTGACACCGGTGAGTCAAACCCAACACATTACAGAATCCTAAAACAAGATTGGTCTTCAAAGGAGACCTATGACTGTATCAGTAGTATTGTATACACAGCAGTATTGAAACTTTCAAGGGGTAAGCATTAGAATGTTTGTCGTGGTAAGACAATCTGGCCATACACCCATGTTTGGACGTGTGTATCCCATTGGCTAGCCATTGCTGCTGCTTTTCACTGCGCTAATATGGTGGTGGTTACAGCTGATACCGATCGGCATCACCACAGAAGTGTAGGGCCTGGGTGCCGTTAAACAATAATGGTGACCACACGCTTGTCATGCCAACGTGAAAAGACAGCTTTTTTCGTGAGTGTCACTTGGGTCTAACTGCCCAAGTGTTGATATTCGACGACTTTAGAGTTGGCAGCATGGTCAGTTTTAGAATAATGTATATTATATTAATTGATGCATTAATGTGTTTATCACTTTTTCCACTTTGCAGCTGGAAAAGTTGGAGCTCATTTAAATTACTTTATAAACTGCTGGGTAGCTTGTGAACTTACTCCTGGAGGTCAATAAAGTTCTGTTTTAACCAATAATAATACATCATAATTTATTTGTTGAATATACACTGCTCAAAAAAATAAAGGGAACACTTAAACAATACAATGTAACTCCAAGTCAATCACACTTCTGTGAAATCAAACTGTCCACTTAAGAAGCAACACTGATTGACAATCAGTTTCACATGCTGTTGTGCAAATGGAATAGACAACAGGTGGAAATTACAGGCAATTAGCAAGACACCCCCAATAAAGGCGTGGTGTTGCAGGTGGTGACCACAGACCACTTCTCAGTTCCTATGCTTTCTGGCTGATGTTTTGGTCACTTTTGAATGCTGGCGGTGCTTTCACTCTAGTGGTAGCATGAGACGGAGTCTACAACCCACACAAGTGGCTCAGGTAGTGCAGCTCATCCAGGATGGCACATCAATGCGAGCTGTGGCAAGAAGGTTTGCTGTGTCTGTCAGCGTAGTGTCCAGAGCATGGAGGCGCTACCAGGAGACAGGCCAGTACATCAGGAGACGTGGAGGAGGCCGTAGGAGGGCAACAACCCAGCAGCAGGACCGCTACCTCTGCCTTTGTGCAAGGAGGAACAGGAGGAGCACTGCCAGAGCCCTGCAAAATGACCTCCAGCAGGCCACAAATGTGCATGTGTCTGCTCAAACGGTCAGAAACAGACTCCATGAGGGTGGTATGAGGGCCCGACGTCCACAGGTGGGGGTTGTGCTTACAGCCCAACACCGTGCAGGACATTTGGCATTTGCCAGAGAACACCAAGATTGGCAAATTCGCCACTGGTGCCCTGTGCTCTTCACAGAGTCTGGAGACGCCGCGGAGAACGTTCTGCTGCCTGCAACATCCTCCAGCATGACCGGTTTGGCAGTGGGTCAGTAATGGTGTGGGGTGGCATTTCTTTGGGGGGCCGCACAGCCCTCCATGTGCTCCCCAGAGGTAGCCTGACTGCCATTAGGTACTGAGATGAGATCCTCAGACCCATTGTGAGACCATATGCTGCGGTTGGCCCTGGGTTCCTCCTAATGCAAGACAGTGCTAGACCTCCTGTGGCTGGAGTGTGTCAGCAGTTCCTGCAAGACGAAGGCATTGATGCTATGGACTGGCCCGCCCGTTCCCCAGACCTGAATCCAATTGAGCACATCTGGAACATCATGTCTCGCTCCATCCACCAACGCCACGTTGCACCACAGACTGTCCAGGAGTTGGCGGATGCTTTAGTCCAGGTCTGGGAGGAGATCCCTCAGGAGACCATCCGCCACCTCATCAGGAGCATGCCCAGGCATTGTAGGGAGGTCATACAGGCACGTGGAGGCCACACACACTACTGAGCCTCATTTTGACTTGTTTTAAGGACATTACATCAAAGTTGGATCAGCCTGTAGTGTGTTTTTCCACTTTAATTTTGAGTGTGACTCCAAATCCAGACCTCCATGGGTTAATAAATTTGATTTCCATTGATAATTTTTGTGTGATTTTGTTGTCAGCACATTCAACTATGTAAAGAACAAAGTATTTAATAAGAATTTTTCATTCATTCAGATCTGGGATGTGTTATTTTAGTGTTCCCTTTATTTTTTTGAGCAGTGTATTTTGTATTATTATTTTGAATATGCAAAGTAACTATTAACATAAGTTATCAAATAATTGTTAAATGTACAGATTTTCCCTCTGGTATGTTGTAGAAATACCTCAGTATAGTATAAATACCTCAAAACTACACCTACAGTAAGTATAGTACTTGAGTAAATGCACTTCCCTCTACTGGGGGTTAAAGTGATTTGAACTGTGGTAAAAATGTTGGCATTGTGCATTTCTGAAAACCATGGAAATGTTACATTATGTTATTGTGCATACATTGAAACTTTACGTTTCAACAGGGTTGTGAAACACTGGGGTTTCTCATTGGAGCGCAGGAATGTGGTTAGGTTTAGGCACAAAAACCACTTGGTTATGGTGAGGAAAAGATTATGTTTAGTTCCAAAATTCTTAATTCTTTTTTCTGGAACAATCCCCGCTGAAAAAGCAGCGATTCCCTGTAAAAAATTAAAATTAAATTTGTTTTTGTTGTTTGTTGGTCTCAAACAGTTGTCTGCATCTTGGCAGGCATCTCGCCTAGCTGTCACACCATCCACCATCCCCTCCACCTCCAGATAACAAGTCAGTTTATATACTACGTCACTTTAGAAACGTTGATACGATGCGTACAAATGTAATGAATCTGTGGTTGAGAAACCTACAATGCCAAAATTTTCTTCTGGCAAATGTTTGCCATGATTCATTCAACAACTTCATCACCATCAATGATGTCATTGTTTCTCCAAATTTTGTTCAAAGCAAAGTTTTTATTTTCAATATTGAGGAAGTTTCCATTCAATCTGCTGCATCTTTGAGTGTGAGAGAGTTGTGTTGCTGTTTTGTTGTTGTTAGATGTCATCGTCCCTGTTGTTGCCGAGGCTACGTTAGCACATTAGCTTGTGTGTTGGGAGGGTGTTCCAGCTGCAGTGATTCCAGTGACGGAACTGTTTCATTAACAGAGCAGCAGGATCCAGATCTGCTGGCCATAAAACTCCCTCAGACTGCTGTGTAATGGCTTCCTGTGCCGAGGCTGACACAGGACACATGTGAGAGTGCTGAATGTTTTCCCAAATGTAACGGAATTCTGATTGGAGCGCAGGAAGGGGAGTCCCCACAATCTGAGGCCCCAGGGTGGAGGGAGATAAGTGAACAGCAGCAGTGCTTTCCATCCACCTGCTTTTATGCACATTTTAAATTTGTGCCAAAATACCTGAATTCAAACAAGCTGTGCAAATACTTTTTATTCCTGACAGAGGTGAAACAGTCGGCATAAAAATCAGTGGTGCAATGTAGTACATTTACTTAAGTACTGTAATTAAGAACAAATTCTAGGTACTTAGACTGTACTTGAGTATTTTCATTTCATGCAGCTTTATACTTCTACTCCACCACATCTCAAAATTAAATGTTGTACTTTTTATTGCACTACATTAATCTGACAGCGTTAAATACTTTTCTCTTATACCTCTTAGGCTCTCAAATCAATTGGAAGATGCATTATCACAAAGTTGAAGACAGGGCTGTTTTTCTAGTCATACACTGTGTTTCATAGGGTTGAGCAGAATACTTGGATTAAACAAGTATCCGGTACAGATAATTTACTTCTTACAAATACGAGCACTTAACAAGTAAAATGTATCAATATCTGTGCTCGTGATGAAGGGCAATCCTCATGGGTGGGCTTAAACTCCACCCAGGTCTAACCCAAACACTGTACATTCCAAGTACAGATTCAGATACAGATAATGGTCAAAAATTCCTTTCAAAATACCCAACACGTTCTCATCCCAAGTCATCACATTTCATCGCTTTGTCTGTGGCCTTTCACGTCCACATATTAGACACTACGTACCCTTCTGCATCTGCTGTTGACATTCTGGTACGCTGCCACCAACACTGGGACGTCAACGAAAGCACACGGTTTAGAAAAAAACATAATGGTTTAGGTCTACGTTTATATAGGAAGCGAACACTGGACTCCCAGGTGAAACTCCTGGGTTTGTTGGACCCATTAACCACCCCTCTCGCCCACCCTATACAGACTCTCCAGCTCCTTATGTGACATGTTACTGGCAGCGTTTCAACTTGACACCCTGCTGTGACAGGTGGCTTTTGGGGTCAAGCGCCTGACACCAAAATCCCTGTATTCGACGATGTCGTATGAGAACAGGCTGTAATATCACATTAAGACACCAAGACCTTGAGGAACACCAAATAAAAATCCATGCCGTGGTTTGGTTAAAAAAAAACTTGTCGAGATTTCTGTAGGAATTGAATTTTCAGTTATTTGACAGGTCATTTTATACAGTGAGGTCACATTTCAAAAAAATGGTTCAGATATCTTGAGGTGAGAGTTCAAGGGACCCAGTTATTCCCTCATCAAAATGTAGCCAGAACAGCCAGTATGACTAAGGTCTTTTACTTCCATATGACATCAGTATCTTAAATCCAGCCCTAAAAGCCTGCTACAGCCTCTAAAAAGGTGGTAATGTCGGCCGGGAATGCCACATCCCCGTGGAGAGGAAGAGGTTAAGCACATTTTGCTGATCGTACTTACATACTTTTAATTAAGTAAGGTTTTGAATGCAGGACTTTGACTTGTAGTGGAGTATTTTCAATGTGTGGTATTAGTACCTTTACTTGAGTAAAGGATCTAAATACTTCCTCCAACACTGGTCACAGGCCTCCAGTCGCGTCTATAGCCAAAGTTTTAGAAACTGGAACATCATAAGTCCATGGGTCCCTCAAAGCACCTCACTCCTCCTCAGAAAATTCTTCTCACAGAGCCGTTCCCATAACTGCAGACTCTGTTTTAACTGCGGAGCATCAACAGGTTGATAAAACTCAGAGGATATGACCTCAGAGACTAAAACTAAATAGAAGTCATAGAAATAATATTTCAGGTGGCATGCAGGAATGAAATGTCTTGAGAAAAGGTCCTGCTGCTGCTGAAAATTTATTTTTCTTGCACCATCTTGAGAATCTTCCTATAAAACCAGTTGATGGAAAAAACGTCATTTTCGTGCACATTTTATAGACTTTGCATAAAACTTCTGCAGCAGTTTTTGAATGCATGAGTGATCAGTTTGGTAGTCGGCCATCCGCCTCAGTGCGTGTGTGAAGCGCATGTTTTATTTTGGTAATTGGTAACGGGAAACATGACGTCAGGCTCTCAGTGACCCACTAAGCAGTGAATTTTTCAGCATTAATTTTATGAGAAACTCGTGCAGTAAAGCGAACCTGTGAATTATTATCGAGGATGCCTTCGCTGTGTGCAGTCATACATCAGCCATGTAGCTGTGCCAGGCTGAGAGCTGCATGTTGGCAGCTTCACACACAGCCACATGTTTCACTCTGTGGTTTCAACAACTGCACTTTATACCAGACAGTGATGTATATGATTGTAGATGCAACATGACAGAAAGTAAAATGATCCGCATAGTCATAAAGAAGTTTTTAAACTGTGTGATTAACTGTTTCTGAATAGAATAGAATAGAATAGAATGGAATGAAGAATTGGAATGGAATGGAATGGGAATTGAATAGATTGGAATAGGAAAAGGAATAGAATGGAATAGGAATAGAATCGAATAGTAACAGGAATAGGAATGGAATGGAGTTGAATATGAATAAGAATCGAATAGAATATGGATAGAATGGAATAGGAATAGAGTGGCATAGAATAGAATAGAGTAAGGAAATAGAATTAAATAGAATAGAACAGAATAAAACAGCAACAGAATAGATTAGAATAGAATAAGAATTAAATACAATACAATAAGAATGGGATACAAATAGAGTAAGAATAGAATAGAATAAGAATGGAATAGAATAGAATAAGATTTGGAATTGAATAGGATTTGGAATGGAATGGGATATATATTGGAATGGAATGGAATGGAATGGGAATTGTAATAGATTGGAATAGGAATAAGAATATGAATAGAAAGGATAGAAACCGGAATAGGAATAGAATAGAATGGAATAGAAATGGGAATAGAATGGACTGGAATAGGAATAAGAATGGAAATGAATAGAATAGGAATAGAATGGAATGGAAAAGGAATAGAATGTAATGGAGTAGGAATGAAATAGAATTAAATAGAAAAGAAAAGAATAGTTTAGAAAAAGAATAAAAATTTAATAGAATAAGAATAAAATAAGAACAGAATAGATTAGAATATGAATTAAATACAATAAGAATGGAAAAAAATAGAATAAGAATGGAATAGAATAGAATAAGATTGGAATGAAATAGGATTTGGAATGGAATGGGATAGGAATTGGAATGGAATGAAATTGGAATAGAAACAGGAATAGGAATACAATGGAATGGAATATGAATTGGAATAGGAATAAGAATGAAATGGAATAGAATATGAATAGAATGGAATAGGGTGTTAATGTTATTGGGACGAATTTTAACTACCATACTTTATATATGTTACTAGTTTATTGTTTTAACCCTTAACATTAAATCATTTTAAAAAATGTATTATGTGATTTTTATGTGAAATTTTAATCTGAAATGTGACTAAAATGACAGGTACATGTAGTGCAGTAAAAACTGCAGTATGTACTTCTGAAATGTAGTAGGACTAGCAGTGATGGGGAGCAAAAAGGAGAACAGAAGTGTTAAACAGTTGTGACCTGGAACAGGGAAAAAATATCCAAGGAAACACAAAGGCAACCAGATGATGTACAGAACTCAACATGATACATGCATATTAATATAAAACATAACAAACAGTGGAAAACTGAATGAAAAGGTAGTCATAGTAATGTGTGTGTGTGTGTGTATGTGTGTGTGTGTGTGTGTGAGATTGTCAGATTGTGTGGAAAAACAAACAGCTGGGTGATAAAAATAGTGAAAGCAATCAATAGTCTAAATGAATTTAAACAGGAATGTATGTGATGTATGTGCAATAAAAGTATATGCATGAGAAATTTCAGCCCAGTTGCTAGAGTCAATGTTGGCATTGCATGTTTCTGTAAACAGCTGATGCGTTACATCTGTATGCTTCATTCATGGCATATTCAATGTTTCTACAGTGACAAAGTTTGTGAGCTGACGCTCTTATTAAAAGGAGGAGGGGATGGTGTGATGTCGAGGCGAGACAGCTGCCAAACAGCTGACGGCAGCAGACCAACAATTTTTTTTTTTCTTGTTTGTTTGTTTGTTTTTTTATGAGATTTTGGGACATTTCCAGCTGTGATTTTAGAGAGACCAAATCAGGTACTTTAAACCAAAACATAATGTTTTCCTAACCATAACCAAGTGTTTTTGGTGCTTAAACATAACCACACCTTCACCGCACAGCAACCTTCAACATATCCGCTACATATGAAGCATATCTGTGGTTTGCAGAAGTGGACAATACCAACATTTATATATATATACATCAGGCAAATTAAGTCGTACAGAAGGTAAATAGAATTTTAAAAACAACAATCAATATAAATACTCATGGTAAAACAGACAATGTTGGCAACTGCCCTAAGGCCCGCACTGAGGTAAATAGAATCAAACAATTGAAATTAAAAAAAAAAAAAAAATGAATAAAGACATTTACACTGATCATCATCTTCCTCTCACTGATCTGAACCGAGGCCCCTGCAGCTCTGAAATCCTGAGCCTAATGACAAAACCATCCTCACAGTCTGAACAGTTTCACTTTCAAGCAGCAGATCAGATCGAGCAGTTGGTTTTATTGTGGCAGTGCCAGTTAGCAGACAGCTGATGATCTGATACCAAGCATTCAGGCATACATCTAAAGGTGGATGTCTCAATTTCAGCAGACATTCAGTACAAGTGGAGGCCTGCTGGTTCATTTGTTCCACTGCATCAATCACATGAAGACGAAAAAGAGACACGAGGGAGGAAAATGTATTTTTCATGAAACATTCAGGAGTAGGAAAAGATTTCTCTGCCTCGTTCTGGAGCAGTGATGCATATCTGTGTATCTAATTAAATTTTGTTTTATTTTGGGTAAAATTATTTGCTTTTTGAGCAGCCAATTAGGAAGCTAAAATGCTGCAACCAATGACAAAGTTCTTTTAACAAGCTTGACAGGGTTGCATTAAAATGGAGTCATGTATTTAATCACATTTTGGTGGAACTAGTCAGCATTTGGACCAAACTGATGAACACAGACAGGAAGTGGAAATTGTTGCAGGAGTGATTTAATAAAAACTAGGTAAAGTTTAATAATCTACAAATTTATTACAGTCAAGTTTTCAAGTTTGCAGCGTTTATTAGCTAAAAGACAAATAATCAGAGTTGGGTATAATGTGTTATAAAGTAACGCGTTAGAGTACTTTGATTACTTTTTGCAGTAACGAGTAACCTAACGCGTTAGTTTGCTGTTTGAGTAATCAGATACTTCAGTACATTTTCAAACAAGACATCAGTTACTTCCGTTACTTTTAGAACGCTGGTCCTTCAGCTCCGAAACAGCAACGGCTGTCGTTTGGTTCTAATAACGGAGATAACGTTAAACCTATCAGTCTGAAAGAAGCCACGGAGCTTGTGGCTCGCTACGTGGTCGGAGAAATGCTGCCGTTGTCTACGGTGGAGTCTAAATAGGTGGAGTAGGACTCGCTGACAGACATATTTCAGACTCAGGACTTGCATTATGCCTGGTACACACTACACGCTGGTACTCACCGGTCGTCTTTCACGGCGTGTGTGATGTCATCGGGTTATTCTTGTCCTATTTTTATTACTTTCACTATTATTTGAGTCAGAACTGTGTCTGTTCATGTGCCAGCTGACATGTTGTTGTAGTCACCTAAAAGCGTCAGCAGATGGCAGGAGCTACATTTGAAGCGCCACATGTAAACTATCAAGCTGCTGTATCTTCCACAGGAAGTTCTGACAAATATTTCAGAATAAAAGCCTATTTAGAAAATGGAGGGATTCTCTAGCCGAGGTTATAAGGGGCTTTTAATTTGAAACAAGTGTTGAGTTTGAAATGACGGTGCGATATGTTAACTTTATAAAGACAACGGAGCGGATAAAAAGTAAGAATATAAAAACACAGAGGGATTAATAAATAACGGACCGTCTATAATGTAGTCTGTTTCAAATGAAGCTGGGAGCCTCTGCAGTCGTGGTGAGTAAAAGCACCGCCACAATTTGTTAATGTTATTACTTTCTGTCCGACCGTGAGGACGTAACATTGTTTGCTAGCTTGATGCTAATGACAGTAACATTAACTCAGCAGGTTGACAAAGTGCCTCTGCTGTTTCACACCATCATTTCCCCCTTTTACTCTGTGTGGTAACATCCCTAGAGGAAATATTAAAAATGCTGGGGTGTTGTTGTCATAGCTACAGTTGTCTATGGCAGCAGGTTGTTCTGTGTTTCTACTGGTCAAAGTGACGGCTGTGATGGGAGAATTGGATCTCAGTGAAGGGCAAGTGGTCCATAACTTTAATTTTGGAGACAAAAAATGTAGGCTTAGCGCCCTGTGGTCCATTGCCCAATAGGAAATGTAGAATACTCAAAAGTACTTTAAAAGTGCTTGAGTTACTTTTCTCAGGGAGTAACGTTGGAACTACTTTTAAAGTAATTGAGTTACTTTACTCAGGGAGTAACGCAGTAAAGTAACTGGTTACTTTTTTAAAAAGTAACGCAGTAACGTACTTTGATTACTTTTAAAGTAACCCTTACCCAACACTGCAAATAATATGTGGAGTATCACTTTAACGGAAACATGAATATTGAAATGTTCCTTTAGTCAAAAAATTGCCTTACTCTGATTTTGTGAACATAAATATGAACGATCATAACATCTCTTTCTTTTTCTTTTGTCCGTTTCTGCAGTCATGTCTGGGGTTTCTCAACTGAGCACCAGAGACATCACAGAGACGTCCGTCACTCTGTTCTGGACTGCACCTCGTGTCCAGTATGACACCTACTACATCACTTTCAGCAGCCAGGTACAAATATATTCATTCTGATGTTCGCAGTTTGATACTAGATGAAGTCTTTTTCCTGAGTGGTCATACAGCCTCAAGATAACTCAAAGTCCGTTGCTCAAGTTGAATCATTTTTAATTTGAGTTTATGTGTCATTGTGTGACATATCCATTTGGATCTGAAATGACTTTGCTTGCATCCACATTATTTAGAATTTTAGCTGCATGTTCAATTTGAAGATGAGAAAAAATCTACCTGGGGATTTAGTTTTGGTTTAAGGGGGCATTTTTATGCCTGTTATTAGACAGACACTTAAGGGATGATTTATGGGGAATAACATCCGACAAAGGACCAGGAACCTCTATGGTTAATTAGCAGCCCTTTAACCCCTATATCACCAGGGTGCCATAGATTTAGTTTTTGATCAAGCTGCAACCTCTGGCATTGAAGGCCACTTGAGGCTGGCTCCAGAAGAGAGACCCCCCTGTTAAAAAGTCCAGCTTTACAGCAGAAATGAACATGTTTACAGCCTGTTACAAAAAACATTTTCTAAAACTTAGTTCTGTTTCCTCTGTCAAGTTTATAACTATAGTTTTTGTCCCACGATATTTCCTACAATGACATTCTCAGCAGGAAACCACCCACTGCTCCAATTTGCCAAATTCGCCATGTAAATGCAGTGTGTCAGGTGCAGACACACCTAGCCTTTAAAGGGAATGTGAGATGACGCTCTGATTGGTTGAATTCATGTTTTACATAAAACACAGCTATGGTTAATCGAAAGTCCCCCAGTTGGGGGACTTTGAGAGCGACTTTGCAAGCACAGTGTGAAACAATACACTGATCACGAAGAATATAGTGATGTTGCACATCAAATTAAACAGCAGAACCTGGGCTACAAGGCTGTAAAAAAACCTTTTTACATGCCCCAAACACAGCTCAACCAACAACTAAATAAACAACAACAAATCCAACTCCATACAGCACCGATATCCCGACCCACGCGGTTTATTTCGGGCTCTAATTCGACCACACGTTATGCAAAACACACGCTGTTCATCTCAAATGAAAGCTGAGACTCCGCAGTTTCCACACATATGTATGCGCCAAAGCACTCTTCACCAAAGCTTCAGAGAGACAGAGGCCAAAGAACAGAAATCTTTTCGCCAAAATATATTTGTAATATCTCTCTTCATTGTTGTTTTTCCCGTGAAAAAAATGAAATGAAAGATATAGGATTGTACATGACAAAAATCACATGCAAACATGGTGCATATTTTGGAGAGCTCGTCTGAATTTCCTGTACTAAAACCTCTCTAATATTGTTCTGCTTCACTTTATCAGAATCAACCTTTGCAGAGTTAATGTTCACATATTGTGCTATGATTTGATAGAGGTTTAGAGCTGCTGCTGCTGCTGCTGCTGCATCATTCCAAAGGGATACTCATCCTGAAAATGCTTTTTTTTAGTGTGCCATCTTCATTTACTCTTCACATATGACACATATAATGATATTTACACATCTTAACAAATCTCACAAGTGTTCCCTTTACCATGACATCAGACGTATTCAAATAGACCTTGTGGTTGCAGAGATATATTCATTTCATTATGGGTATGCAATTTTCAAGCAGAGACCTATAAAATAGGCTTAGCTTTGAAAAGGTTAAGGGAATAAATACAACACCTTTGCCTCTTGCGCCTTATTTTGTGCCCAGATTATGTGCCATTTAACTGACATGCCCTAAATGCACTTACGTCATGCACTTTAGGGCATGCGCCATTGATTGCTTAAAAAGGACCCAATAAGTCAGATCCACTCTTCCCTCCTCCACAACTCCACCATCTTGTCAAATTAAGGTCACTTCCTGCTCCAAAAAAATCAAAGATGGTGACGGCCAATGTGCCAAACTCGAGGCCTCAAAACAGATGTTTACAAACCAATGGGTGATGTTCATTATTTTATCATGGATGTAGCTGCCATAAGGGTGGCTAATGATTTTTAATACTTTTTCATGTAGATTTCACTTTGTCTGATTGTAATGTAAGAGTTGTTTGAAATGTTTTTAAGGTTTTTCACCTCAGCACTTGTGCACTGACACTATTATACTGCACAGTATAGATACACAACACTGTAATTATAGGGGTCAGATCAGTCTCATAATGAATGAACTCACACAGGGTTTCTTACGAATACACATGCTCTGGTTCGCAGTTATATTTCGGACTCACTAATGCACACAATCTGTTTCGCAAATGCACACACTCTGGTTCACAAATATAATGTTTATGCAAACTTGTAATATAAATTCGGAAATGCACACAATCTGCTTTGTAAATGCACACGCTCTGGTTCACAAATAAAAAATTTCATGCAAACTTGTAATATAAATTCAGAAATGCACACGCTCTGCTTCACAAATATTATTTTGAGGCACACTTGAAATATAAATTCACAGATCATGCGAATCGCTGAATGTGCATTTACAAACTGCTTCTCATTTGTGAACCTCTCTACATTTGTGAGAGAAATCTGTTTGGTGAATTTTTAGACTCCCCTGACTTCGCAGGTCAATGAACGTCACCATTGGCTGATAAATCTGTCAATCAAATTTATGATTCTGATTGACAGATTCGTCAGTTAATCAGGTGTTCGCTTTGAGCCAATCGTATGGCTCCTTACATAGGGTGTATTCATAATTTATGTTCATTCAAACATGTTACTTGGCTAAGCAGAACGCTTCAACTCATTATAATTCAATAACATTGCATGATTTACAACGAGAGGATAATAAGATAAATGTGTTGGTTGAGATTGATCCATGTCTCTTCCACCGTTTCAGTCTAGCGCGTCTTGCAAACAGTAGCTCAGTAGCTCTGCGATTGGTTTAAAAGTGTGGAGAAAATGTAAGGAGCCATTGGATTGACAGATTTATCAGCCAATGGTGACGTTCGTTGACCTGCGACGTCAGGGGAGTCTCAAAATTCACCACACAGATTTCTCTCACAAATATAGAGAGGTTCACAAATGAGAAGCAGTTTGTAAATGCACATTCAGCGATTCGCATGATCTGTGAATTTATATTCCAAGTGTGCCTCAAAATAATATTTGTGAAGCAAAGCATGTGCATTTCCGAATTTATATTACAGGTTTGCATAGAAATTATATTGTGAACCAGAGCGTGTGCATTTGCGAAACAGATTGTGTGCATTTCCGAATTTATATTACAAGTTTGCATAAAAATTATATTTGTGAACCAGAGTGTGTGCATTTGTGAAACAGATCGTGTGCATTAGTGAGTCCAAAATACAACTGTGAACCAGAGCATGTGCATTCATGAGAAACCCTGCGTGAATTCATTCATTATGAGACTGATCTGACCCCATATGTAGTTGTCATGATTTCATTAATGGCACACTTTTCAAAAGTCAATTGAAAAAAGCAACAAATGTAAATAAACCAAAATGGGAAACTGTAGATATAAGGAAACTATGGAAGCGTATTGCCGATGAAACTGGAAAAACTGATCAGTATCAAATAATAAAGTGAAAATATCTTGTAACATGAAAACATCTTGTAAAAAAAATGTGAAAAACATTTTTTTTAGAACAAGAGACATTTTTGACATTATTACCTTTTTTTCTGGCACTGCAGCAAACACCTCCATAACAAACATAAAAAATGACAAAGTTATTGTATTGTATTATAAAAGGTGGAGAATTAATGTGGAAAAGATATGACTGCACATTCACACACGGACCAGGATTCTGTTCACAACCTGCAGAACAACAGAGAAATAGATAAACACACACATATTTCTAGAAATAATTCATACAGCAGATGTATTTGTCGGTAGATGTGGCTCACCACCAAAACGAGCAGGAGTTTGCTCTCTCAGAGTCGAGGATGTCCCAGCTTTCAGAGCTGCTCAGGGGGTCGAAATCTTTATACATTCGGTTGTGTTAAGGGGAAATACTGCAGCCAAAGTTTGCGCAAGATCCTCAGGGAGCTTTAAAACACGATGACAAACAGACAGTAAACGTAAAACTGCTGTGCATCACCTTAAACAACCTCTACTGTCAGTGTGACCTTTGACCTGCAGACAATCAGACCAGAGCTCTTTCTCTTTTGTTTTCAAATTAAAGTTATGTACAAGAAAAGGACAAACTGTAGGTAAACAGGGCCTGAGGATTTGCACAGATGGAGGAAGTCTCCAGGAGGAATTATTCAATGAACGCCAGGTTAAATGTAATAAATTCTGGGAGTTTGGATAAGGATTGTGTTTAATGTGGCAGCTCTCTGTGCAGATCATGTATCTTTTCCATGACAACCAGGATAACAATGTTCACGATAGTCCCACAAAACCCACAAAAAGACTACAAACAATAAATTTAACAAGGATTGAGAGACTTCAGCAGCTCTGCGATTCATTGATACTGATACATCTGTACACTTGATGTTGATACAGGAGCAAATTGAAGATTATTGTCTCCTATATGTTTAAAAAAAATACTGAATTTAGAATATAAAAGGGAAAGCAAACACAGATGAAAGTGTGAATTTGTGCTTTTGAGGATCATTTACAGTAACTTTATCTGTGATAAATCAAAATTTGAGTGTTGAGTGTTGTTGTTGAGTGTTGTGCTGTTGTTTTAAACCATTGAAAACTTTAAAAATTCACAAGAATCATCCATATGTTTGGAGAAGCTTTTGAACACTATCACAAAATTGGCATTATCATATCTTCAGTTCAACCCACGGCTGCTGCACCAAGGACTGAGCCTTTGTGCATGGGGCGCCTGCTCTAACCACTAAGCCACCGACGTCCCATCTTGATGCAGCTCTGACACAAAGTCACACTCTGAGGAAGATTTCTACATCAAAGTTCTTTACTTAGAGTCTTTTGAGTAAAAGTTTAGTTTATTTGTATTACATTCAGCCTCCTATAAACATGTTTCTGTCTTTTTATAATTTCTTTCATTGTTACGTTCCCATCAGATCCCTTTAGTTTAAACTGTGA